AGGTGTTAGACGGCGCCTGTAGCTCAAAGGAGTAGGGCGCCGGCCGATATGCAGGAGGTGGCAGGTTCAAACCCGGCCCCGGCCAAAAATTGCAAAAAAAAAAAAAAGAAGAAGAAGAAGCCGGGTGTTGTGTGGGCGCCTGTAGTCCCAGCTACTCCGGAGGCTGAGGCAAGAGGACGGCTTGAGCCCAGGAGTTTAAGGTTACTGTGAGCTCTGTTGCCAGGCACTCTAGCCTGAGCGACAGTGAGACCCTGTAAGAGACGTCAACCAGGAGAGTCAGCCGGACCGCAGAAGCAGGTGGAATTCCTTCCGGAAGTGACGCACGGGAAGTTACGCCAGGAGGCGGCACCTGGAGGTGGAGGGTGTCGCGATGGGCGGGGCGCAGCGCTGGCGTTTCGCTAGGTGACTTGGATCCCCTGCAGGTAACCTCCCGGCCAGATCTGAATTGGGGCAGGGGCGGGAGCTGGGATTTTGATCCCAGCCGTTGGGAGTTCTAAGCTCGGGCGGATAAGGTGGCTGTCGCATTAGGTGGTGGCTAGAGAGGACAGGTTTCTTGGCTTGAGGTTACCCGAGGGTAGGGATACGGGGAACTCTTGGGAACCGGGTCATGGAGGCCGAGGCTGTCAAGGAAATACAGACAACCTGAGTCTTACTAGGAATCGGTAATGGCCGGGGGTCCAGGGCTTCCGATCATTGGCGCTCTTGTTGGAAAGACAGAGCCTGGGCCACTGAAATGAGCTAACCTAGGGTTCATTCCCCACCTAACCCTAAGCCGTTCTGCCAGTAGGGGACCGGGACTTCTTTAATCCGAGCGATAGTGCCTTGGCACTATTAGGCATTCTGTAGATGCTGCCGAATGAATGAACGAACGAACGAACGAACGAACCTGATTCTGGCTAGGGGACTACTTAGTATCCCTGCATCTGAATGTAGAAGTGGCTCCTCTTTAGTTTGCTCACCAGTAATTTATCACGATACCGGTGCAGGAGAGGTCAGGAGGTTGGTTTTGTTTTGTTTTTACGGTTATGGAAATTTAGAAATGTGTTTTAATACTTTTTTTCTGGGTGGAGAAAATAAGACTTCTTTTAGGTTCCTTTCCTTTTCTAGGAAAAGTTCCCAGGGGGAGGATACCAGGGAGGAGTTGGTCATCAAATGCTAAGCTACAGTTGTATCCCTGAGTGTTTTAAGTGCTTCTTCCCCCACCCGCCGCCCCCAGTAACAACAACTTACTTTACTTTTTCTTAATGGTTTCTTTCCTATATTGTAAAGAAATGTACTACTTACATTTGAGATGTAAATGAGAATTATAACAAAAATGAAAATAGCCATTTATAAAAATCCATTCAAAGATTACACATGGTACAATAAAGCTAACTCCTTCCAAAAAGTTGTAGAAGGGCCCCAGAAGAGTGAATCCTTGAAGATTAAATTGTTTCCTTAGTAAAAAGTGTTTGTTTAGGTGTCTTAAAAGCGATAAAGAGTGGGTACTATAACCAGATTGGTTTTGGTGGTCAAATGGAAAAAAGTGCAGATGAGACTGTGATGAGGCTGTGTAATGAGGTCTGGACATTAATCACTACCTGGTCTAGTGAGGTGATTGCTGTGTAGGAGCTAGCTAACGAGAGGGTAGCTCTTGAGAGGTTCCAGAATCTTATCATTAGATTGGATATAGTTGGGGAGGAACCTGCATTTATGTCATGCTGTTATATTGTGGGCTTTTTGGTTTTTTTTTTTATGAAGAAGAAACTAGTAAGCTTTTTTATTTAAAATCTAAGATGTTCTTAAATAGGTTGAAAACTTTAACATTTAACATTAATTCAACATTATTGAACTATTTAAATTTTAAAAGCTTACCTACTCTTAATCTTGTTTTCCCAGTTTCTGCAAAATGTCGGTATCCGAATGATTCCTATCTTTGTATGCTTTTACTGTTAGGTCTGCCACCTTTAGAACACATATAAATATGGTACAAAGTAATGTTTTGAGATGTTTTAGGTTTGTGTTAATATTGTTGTCTTAAAAATGAAGTCTAGGACAGGGCACCCAGCAATGACTGGGCACCGCCGCCACTGCCCAGGCACAAATTAAAAAAGAAGAGAGAAAAAAAAATGAAGTCTAATTTTGCTAACTCAATCTGCTGTTCCATACCATGTCCTCTAAATTTTGCACATGTAAATGTCTCTATAGTATAATTGATATTCATTGTGAATTTGCTATCCAAGTGGTAATTTAGGTATGTGCATTGACGTTCTGGAGGTTTTCAGTTTTGCAGAATGCTGCTGTCTACTGACTCTAAAATGGACTACATTTAAAGAACCCCTTGGATCATTCATGGACAAAAACATGAATCATGTATTGTGGCATTCAAATCCTAGCACTTTGGGAGAGGTAAGTTGCTGACTGTGTTTAGGTGAAATATTGGAATAAGCCCTACGTTTGCCTGGGAAATTGTAGGACTGTATTTGAGAAATATAAACCTGAATCTCTGTGTTTTCATGAGGACCTTCCAAAGAAAGGTTTGTTTTGTATACATGAGGCAATTCTTGCTATTATTTCCCTGTCCAGTTGATAAGAAATTTAAAAGATTGACAAGCTAAGCTCTCTTTTTGTTTTGGAGAACTCCTTTTAACACATTAGAGCCTGGTAAAAATAAATCAATCTGTGGATGCCCTGTAGAAATGAAAATTCAGGCTCAGCGCCTGTGGCTCAAGCGGCTAAAGCGCCAGCCACATACACCTAAGGTGGCGGGTTCAAATCCCCAGCCCGGGCCCGCCAAACAACAATGATGGCTGCAACCAAAAAATGGCCAGGCGTTGTGGCGGGCGCCTGTAGTCCCAGCTACTCGGGAGGCTGAGGCAGGAGACTCACTTGAGCCCAGGAGTTGGAGGTTGCTGTGAGCATGATGCCATGGCACTCTACCCAGGGGGAAAGCTTGAGGCTCCGTCTCAAAAAAAAAAAGAAATGAAAATTCAAATAATCATTTAAATCATCTTGCATCCAAGTTTGGCTATGTAATAGTACAGGTCTCAAATCTACTTGTCAATTTTATTTTGTGCTTTAGCTTTGAACAACAACAAAAAAAGATCAAAAAATGTCTTTTTTCTTTATCTTCCCTTATTTATGCTGTTTCTTTTTCTTTTTTCTTTCTTCTTTTTTTCCAGTCTATTAAGTAATTCTTTCTCCAGGCTTTTAGCTTTCTGTATCTGGGAGTAAAGTTTCTCCTTTTCCATTTACCTTTCCTAATTTGTCAGTTTGTTAATTTTCAAAACCTTAACTTTATGACAGTTTAGCACCTTTTAATCACTAAGCATTAAACTTGTAGATTTTCCTTTGTAGACATGCTAGCTGCTTGCTTAGAATTTGTTTAATTCTGACAGCAAGGCAGTAATTCTAGGAATTCATCTTTCAAATCTGTTTGTGCTTGCTTATAAAATTTGCATATAAAGATAGTTATCACCAACTTCAGAGCTGCAAGGAAAGTTTAGTGATACTGTTTTAAACTTTGACATTAGATTGTTATCATTACTAAGAACTTATGAATACCAAGGGCTTTGCTGCCAAATTCAATACCATGTGCACTATATGGCATGTAGTGATGGGGACGGGGTGATATGGTGGTTGTTACATTTACAAGTTGTTTTTATTGCATTGGCATGATTCTGAACTCAGTAATAACTGAATGGGATGAACTTTGTTTCATTTAAATTACTACTTAGGGATTCTATATTCTTTAGGTCTTACAGTTATTATTTCACTTTGTTCTTGATGTTTAACTTGCTGAAGGTATTTCAAGAACAGCTTGTTCTCTCAGTAAAATCAGCAAACCAGAAAGATAATTTAGAAAGATATATGTGGATAATCTCAGTTTGTATTACTTTGAATCTCTTCAAGTCTCAGCAAAAATTTCTAGTGACTTTTACTTCTCTAGACATTTTTGTGTGTCCACATTTTTATTGTGAGATATGGTATAATAGTAATAGGTAACTAAATGAATTATATACAACACAATAAAAATATCTTTATTTTATGAATAGAGGGAATTTATCTGAAACTTGTTTAAGAATAGGCTATGTAAAACATAACTCTGTGTGATACCACTGGTGGCGTGCCTTGCTAAAATAATGAAGGCTGCAAATCTAGGGACCGAGTCATAATTAATGGAATAGAACAGGTTATGCTATTTCAGGTGTTTTATACCATGCTTTGGCAGCATATTTTGGATTTAGCATCTATAGGTGCTTTGCTTCTTCAGGTCCTTGGGATTAATCACAATAGTTACAAAGGGGAAATCATTGGGTGGGAGGCCTAGGGTGAGATTCCTTACTCTTGCTATGCGAATGGATAGCAGTGAATTGAATCCAAGGGTAGATTGTTTTCCTGATGCTAAAGATGCTAGAATATAGTAAAGGTGACAAAGGGAAAGAAAGGAGATGAATATGAATGTAAAAGTTACATGTAGAGAACATAGAATTGAGGATGTGTGTGTGTGCATGTAGAATGTATAACATATTATATCTATCTATCTGTATTACATTCATAATATATATCAGACTCTAGAAAACCAGATAGTGCAATGAGAAAAAGGATTGGCATTGTAAGGCCTCAGAGCTGGGTCTGTCATGGGCGAATTCATGATTTTGAGAGTTCCTTAAAGAGTTTTGGAAGTGTTTTTTTTTTTTTTGAGACGGAGCCTCAAGCTATCCCCCTGGGTAGAGTGCCATGGCATCATGCTCAAAGCAACCTCCAACTCCTGGGCTCAAGCGAGTCTCCTGCCTCAGCCTCCCAAGTAGCTGGGACTACAGGCGCCTGCCACAACGCCCGGCCATTTTTTGGTTGCAGCCATCATTGTTGTTTGGTGGGCCCGGGCTGGGGATTCGAACCTGCCACCTTAGGTGTATGTGGCTGGCGCCTTAGCCGCTTGAGCCACAGGCGCCAGGCCGAGTTTTGGAAGTTTTAAGATCATTCATAGGGTCCCAATGACAGGAAGACAGATAAAAACCTGAGTGAGAAAATTAACCTGGAAACGCAAAGGGTTAGGGTTAAGGGCATCTTTTAAGATTCTGCTTTGTGGTATTGTTTGGGGGAGGGGAAAAAAGAAGAGAGAACTTGCAATTTATTGCTGTTCAGGTTGAATTGAGCTAAATCTATAAGCCTTTCCTCAAATTACAATTGTGTATGACCAAGATTAACCAAGATTAAACAGGCCCCATTAACCTACAAAACATTAATATATGAAAGCTGATTTTAGTAGTAGAAGTACCTCAAAGAACAAGAGAACTGTTTTTAATCAGTTTTGTGATTATATTAAAGGACAACTCCAATGATCTAGATTGAGGGGATTGGGACTGTTTTGTTCAGAAATAAAAGACTTTGGAAGAGTTGGGGAAATGCTATAGGAAGTACATTTGTTCTTTGTATACTTTAATTTGAGGCTAAAATTAGTGAGAGAAGTTATAGAACTAGTGAGAGAAAGTACAAAACTAGTCAGCAGTGAAGCAGATTGCGGAAGAGGCAGTGAACCCTCAGTCATTAGGATTGCCGCTTAATCAGTTTGAACATCAGCAACACCGTAGAGGAAATTTCTCATTGTATGGAGAGTGAACTGGTTTATTTTCAAGGCCTCTTTCAAATCCTCGTTTTTTATAGTGTATTAAGTGATTTATTGTGGATAGGTTTATAATTTCTACAGTTAGGTAGAAATGTGACTTCCTTATATGCTGGTCACTTAGTCACCAACCTCAACTTATTCATCACGAGGACGTAAAAATTTAAAATTACCTGAATACCCAAATTATAAGACAAAATTTCTAGACTTTTCTCAGGTCCTTACTCAGTTTTCTTTTAGACACAGTTCTGACAGTCTTAGTTAATGGGTATCTAACTCCACAGAATGTAAGAAGTAAGAAACTGTGACTGAGCCAAGCACTCCTATTAGAGGCAGACTAGGAAGGAAAAGAAAACGGTCATAAAGCAGACCAACAACCACTAATTTTAAAATTGTACCGACCTGAGCCCCTTTGCTTGGATGAAAACAGCTATGTATAAATGGATGTTCAAAATGGTAACTCTGGATTTGGGGTGTGAGGATACACTGCTGGAGCCTCAGGGCTGGTCGCCTCTATGCCGGTGGCTGAGAGTGGGGCAGTGGATCTTCAGAGGATACTAGGACGTTGTGTGCAGAAATTTTTGTTGGATGGGGTTATGAGAAATTCCTCTCTCTGTGCTAACTCGGTAGTGGAACAAGTTAATATATTCTTAAATCATAGCTGTTTATTCCAAATTCTAGCCCACTTTTCCCCCTCCCCAGGCTGATAGGTATTCTTCAACAGTTTTATTTTTAGGGATTCTTAGATGCAGGTAAACATCATCATTAAAATAACTGGGAACTGAGCGGCGCCTGCGGCTCAGTGAGTAGGGCGCCAGCCCCATAGACTGAGGGTGGTGGGTTTGAACGTGGCTCCGGCCAAATTGCAACAAAAAAAGACCCATGTATTTAGAGGCAAAGCAATGATAATGGGCAAAATATGGAAGTTAAGAGTAGACAGACTAAAAAAAGAAAATGTTATCTTTTGCTGCAGACCTGCTAAGAAAGACTCCCATTACCTACGTCAGTACTATTGCTGGAGAAGCAGTTTCTACCAGACCATGGGTTGGCTATATAGTTGTGCATTTTATATTTCCTTTCTAAAAAATGACAGACTTTACCAATTAAATGCTTCAACCAAAGACAATGACAATTGCAACAACAACAAAAATAGCTGGGCAGGGCAGCGCCTGTGGCTCAGTGAGTAGGACACTGGCCCCATATACTGAGGGTGGTGGGTTCGAACCCGGCCCCTGCCAAACTGCAACAAAAAAATAGCTGGGCGTTGTGGCGGGTGCCTGTAGTCCCTGCTACCCAGGAGGCTGAGGCAAGAGAATTGCCTAAGCCCAAGAGCTGGAGGTTGCTGTGAGCTGTGATGCTACAGCATTCTACTGAAGGTAACAAAGTGAGACTCTGTCTCTTAAAAAAAAATAAATAACTGGGAACTATTATCAGTTCTTCCTTTGGTGTTCATCTTGAGTGTAAAAGGGGAAAGCAAAAAAGAAAGAAAATTAAAGTTTCAGGAGGGTTAATTAGAGAAATATTCAGAAGACTCATTGCTCTAATGGTACTCATCGAATCACAAAATTGAGAAACGTTATCCTTTGACTGTGTGAATTTTACACCACACCATATGTCAATGGCACGTTCCTCCCAGTGTCAGTATGATCCAACTCACTTCATCCTAAACATAGTTTCTCTCCTGAGTGTGCTAATTCTCAAAATGCCACCACTATGTGGTGTTGGGATCTTTGGAATTAATAAGTATTGAAATGTTTTAAAACTGGAACAAATTTTTTTTTACAGCTACTAAGTTTCCTATAAGGATAGGAGTAACCAGTAAACTACACTGTTTCTGCGATAATGTGAAATGAGAGGAATTTACGTTGGAGGGCCAATTGGGTTCTTCGTATGCTGTTTTGAAGTACAGATTTCCTTTTTTTTTTTTTTGGAGACAGAGTCTCCCTATGTCACACTGGGTAAGGTGCCATGGTGCCACAGCTCACAACGACCTCAAACTCTTGGGCTTAAATGATTCTCTTGCCTCAGCCTTGCAAGTAGCTGGGACTACAGGTGCCTGCTATAATGTCTGGCTATTTTTGTTGTTGTTGTTGCAATTGTCATTGTTTTTGGTTGAAGCATTTAATTGGTAAAGTCTGTCATTTTTTAGAAAGGAAATATAAAATGGACAACTATATAGCCAACCTATGGTCTGGTAGAAACTGCTTCTCCAGCAATAGTACTGAAGTAGGTTTTGGGAGTCTTAGTAGGTCTGCCACAAAAGATAACATTTTCTTTTTTTTAGTCTGTCTACTCTCAACCTCCATATTTTGCCCATTATCATTATTTTGCCTCTAAATACGTGGGTCTTAGTGTCGATGATCCAAAATGATAGCTATTTCCAGAGTACCAACCATATTGAATTCTTGTGACTTAGGAAAGCTTCCTATAGTTGGCTAACATTAATTATAAGACACAACTGTATCCTACTTTGAGAAGTAAACATGTCAAAAAAACAAAGTTCTGATGTGAAATGAAATTTTAAAATTCAGTAATGTTTATAAACAAAATTGAGAGAAAATGAATTGTAGACCAACTTAAAAATCCATTTGTGTCAAAAAACTGCCTTTAAGGGGGTAACGATCATTGTTTTGTATTTCCAAATATTGAGTTTAGAAATCAGTCATATGCTACAGCCTTTGTCTTTCCTTGTGTATTTTTAAATAATCAGCAGTTTATACTTTAATAAAATTTTTCTTTGGCGTAAAAAAAAAAGTAATTCTGACTGAATGCAATTAACTTGTATTTACTGTTTCTGTTGAAAAAGTGAGTGAAGAATAGCTGAATTTTAGAAAGATCTTTTCAGTGTGTTTCATCACAAAACATAGAAAGATATTTTGGCATTTGGAGAGGATGCTTTGTGTAGGGGAAAGAGCAATAATTGTAGAATACAGATCTGGGCTCCATTCTTTACTACCTGTTCTATTAGGTTTTATTGTTTATTCCAAGCCTCAGTTTCTTCATCTGTAAAATAGGGATTTACTGAAGGTAAATGTAAATTAACAAGTAAATTATTATTATTAACAAGTAAATGTTAATAATAGCTATTGTTATATTTCATTATTACTATAAAGTTCATCTTGAATTTTTTGCTTTTCAAAAAGAACAAGAACAAACTTATCTAATGATTTTAGTGTGATTTTAATGTATTAATGCTAATAATGATGACAGCATGTTTAAAAAACCTTTTAAAAAAATTGTATAAGTAATCTACATCTACTTAACAAAAATTAGGTTATAGAAAATATACCTAAACAAAAAAGGAATGAAGTTACCCAAATCCTCTTATCATTGTTAGTATTTTACTGGCATGCTTTATTTTTAAACTGCTTTGACATTACTGCAGAAATGACATTTGTTACTTCTAAAACTGATTCCATATTACTGCTGTTGGGGAATTTACAGTAGTCACTATGTTTTCTAATTATAATATGCAGTGACAGATTGTGACATGGCACAATATTGATTTCACTAAAGCTTTAGTGCTAGTAAACTTTGTTGTATTCAAACTAGTTTTATAGAGTAACTTTCTGTTTTGTAGCTGCAAGGCCTCAGTTTGAATCCTGGCTTCACTATTTACTAGTTGGCTGACTTCTTGAATTTCTTAATTTCTCTGTGCCTCAGTTTTTTCATCCATATATTGGGGATAACAGTAGTATCTAGTTCATGAGTTGTTGTGAGGATTCAATGAATCACTCTTGCACAAATAGAGCAAAGCTGGTACAGAATACAGACTCAGTAAATATTAACTGCTATTGTTATTAATTTTTGAAAGCTTAAAGTTTTCTTGAGGAAAAAGGTAGGTCTATAGGAGCACATAAAGTAAAAAGAAATAGAATGAACACAAAATTAAGTTGACATTAAAAATTCTATCCTAGGCTGGTGCCTGTGGCTTAGTAGGTAGGGCGCCAACCCCATATACCAAAGTTAGTAGGTTCGAACCTGGCCCAGACCAGCTAAAACAGCAGAGGCAACTGCAACAAAAAATAGCTGGGCATTGTGGTAGGCGCCTGTAGTCCCAGCTACTCAAGAGGCTGAGGCAAGAAAATCACTTAAACCCAAAAGTTGGAGGTTGCTGTGAGCTGTGATGCCATAGCACTCTACCAAGTACAACAGAATAAGACTCTGTCTCAAAAAAAAAAAAAAATTCTCTCCAAAAAAGAGACAGGGGAGAAACAGAAGGAGGCTAGTATTCCCTGAGGGACATAGCCCACTGATATTTACTGTAATGTAATTTCAGATGACTGTAACCTTTTTTCTGTTACATCATCCACATGTTTGCGATATTTTTGCTATACATTTTTCAGTTGAACCTTGCATCAAGGTCTGAATTTTTCCATTTGAATGCTTTGTTACTTTTCCTCCCTTGAAACATAACCTTCCTATTTCACTTTCTTGCTCTACCTACCCCACAACATTAACATCATTTTATACTATTTCTTCCAGCAAATATTTTGGCCATGCTTTCAGCGATCAAGAGCTCTTTAAGAAAATCTGATATCACAGATGGTGATCAAAGAGATGCAAGAAATTATCACAAATCCATCCATCTGACTACTGTCCCAAGGTGGTTCTGTGAGAAGTTTAAATTCTGTTGCAATTTATAGTGAAGAATATTAACCAAGGAGCTAAGCCAGTGACCATATTTAGCCATTCTGTAGTTTCCTTCTTTCTTTTTGATTTTCTCCTTCTGTTTTTTTGAGCATGGTGTCTAGTGATCTGATAATTATTGACCAAAGAGTTATAGATTTTTAATTTCCCTTTTAAAAATAATTTGCTAGACTTGCTAGTAGAATTTTTTTGTTTTTTGTTTTGTTTTCAAGCATCAAGTACCAAGTTTTTGAAGACCTTGGCCTTCCATCAATATGCATTCAAGATTTGAGTTTGAATAACCTCATCAAGACTTAGATCTTCTTCAAAAGCTTCAAGTCTCATCTGCATTAGAGCTCTCCATTGAACCCCTTCACAAAAGTGAAAGCTTAAAAGGACCAACATCCATTAATACATTCCATTTTATAACCCTTCCTTTGTTCTGTTCAATTTTCTTGGCCACTAGAGTCTTTCCTATTGCTTATATTTCTTTAGATTAGAGCCAAGGCCTATGTGTCTTATGGGTATTTAATACTGTAATACAGTGCTTTCCAAAAAATATATGCTCTGTGGTGATCAGTTTTTATTGGTAGAGAAGCATAAGCTTGGCATGATAAACTCAGAATTAGGTCTTCTGTTACATCCTATAAAAAGTTGAATTAACAATAAGAAAATGAGGACAAAGTCATAAAAATATACGAGCTTAGATTATACTCTCAGAAGCTATGTGGTCTAGAGAAAAGTGCCCTCAACCTGAAATGTGATGGTTCTTATTCTATGTGTCTTGTTAGGTGATGACTGACCGACTAGGTGATGATTGGTAAAGTCACTTCAACTCACTAAACCTTAACTTCATTATGTATAAAGGGAGTCTGATATTTTCTCCACCTACCTCACAGGGTTGTTGTGAGGATCAAATGAAATATTGTACATAAAAGAAACTTCTTTATAAAATGTGTAAACATTTTATACAGGACACAGGATCCTGCTGCATAGCTGTAAGTCATTCCCTCAGCTCTTGGGCCTGGGAGGGTAGGTGACTTAAGCAGACTGGAAGCATGAACCAGGCTGAAGATAGGTACATGGTAAGAAGGCTGTGTTAATTGTTTTTTCTGGTACATAAGAATTCTGCCATGGACTAATTCTAATAAGCAGCAAGTCTATAAATTTCCCTAAAATTATCAATTAGCATTGATAATGCTCTAGAGAGCAGTTAGGGTTATAACATACTAATGGTTTGCAAAATTGGTTTACTAAGTTGTAACCAGCATTCTTTTTAATTTCTGTATTAGACACAGAACTTTTTTTTTTTTTTTTGAGACAGAGTCTCAAGCTGTCACCCTTAATGAAGTGACAGCTTCATTACTCATTACTTCAACTATAAAAAGTTGAATTAACAATAAGAAAATGAGGAAGGCTCGGCGCCTGTGGCTCAAGTGGCTAAGGCGCCAGCCACATACACCTAAGGTGGCGGGTTCGAATCCCCAGCCCGG